TTATCTTAATTTACTCATTTACGATTAACTTTATCTTATCAGCCTGATATTCTTTCATCACCAAAATTTTTATTTATTTGATTGGTGCCTCTTGTTCAGACTAGGAAACGCTTGATCCACCATGTAACTTTGACATTAGGTCTTTTAAGTAATCAGGTGGAAGAATCCGATAGCACTATCTTTTATTTATATTACTATTGATCCCCTTGCTAAATTCATATTGGATTACCTCGGACACTTAATGTACCGGTCAATAAATTCCCTTTAACTTTTTATTAAAGGTATGAAGTATAATTGTTTTCTCAAAAATTTTCTTAGGAAAATTGGCCCTTAAGTGATTTTGTACCAAAGCTAATTACTTGCCTCGAAGCTCCCATATTTTTTAGCATTGCAGAAATTGTATTAATCTTCTATCTTCACTTTATTTATTTATAGTTATCTCGTGTGTAAAGGTCTTAAACTCGACTCCGATTCGATGATTGGCTGTCTGTCACCGGACTGTTTTTCCGGCCAGAACGCTTATTCACTTACACCTAAATCGGTTCACGTCGAACAGCCAGCTTCCAAGTCGTCCCTGTCAGCGACTAGTGGAGGCATTAAGCTACCCCGGAGGCGGCAAAAAGTATTAACAGAAGACGCTCTCAATGTGACCGAGACGGTGGGCTCGGCGTCATCGGCCACTGGTACAGTCTGGGGCCGATTGGAGAAAGGCACTCGGGGTCTAGTGGGTCGGATTGTTGAACATTTTCTGCTTGTCAATCAAGCCATAAGGGATAAAGACTCATCAAAATGCCGACCTGGGATTCGAGACTCTGACGGCGATGATGATTCTGAGAAAAAGCATGTAAGGATTGACGTGCCCAGTGAACAAGTACTGCGTATCTGTCAGCATCAGGCATTGCTTGAGGACACTGGCTTTCTTGGATTCATCAGAGACATGAATGAGCAGTGAGGGAGGATTCTTTTCATATTTTTAAATTTCTTTGCTATTGCCTCTTTAATTGAAATTAATTTTTATATGATTAGAAGTGTTTTGTCCTCATTTTCGCAATTTAGTCATATTGCCAGGGAGATCAAGAGGAACACATTTTGCCCGGAGTCCTATGCCATAGTAACGATCATACTTTTCAGTGTCAGATAATGGACTTGGTGCATTCACATACGTTTTTCTGACATCTTCATATAACCTTGCTAATCAAAACACCAAATTTCAATTTATCAAAAAGACAAGTGAAATCCATCCCTTGACCAACCTTCTGATGTATAATCGAAGGTATAAAGACCAAGATGGTGTGGCCTTTTGTGTGGTCGCAGTCTCCTTTCATTTAATAGAAGTTGATTGACCTTGTTTTCGCAACTCAGTCATATTGGTAGGAAGACTTAAAGAAACGCACCTAGTCCGGAGTCCA